CAAAGACCTTGGTGATAGCTGAAAGGATAGAAATAAGACGGTAATTGAATACCAACTGTTTATCACCGGATTTAAATATTAGAATTACAAAAGCCGTTTTCCACTTACTTGGGAAAATACCTTCAAGTAAGGACTTTGAAAAAAATGCACAAGAGATTACAGGACACGAGTTAGCTATGGTTCAATCAAAGGAAGTCATTGAGACTGACACGCCGGATGAAGAACTCTTTTTGCTATTAACAAACGACCATATCTTCTTTGGTATCTTCTGTAACCAGCAGCTATCAATTTCTTAGATCTACGACCCAAATTGAAAAAGATAGATAAATAGATCTTTTCCTGAATAATACGAATGATAGAACGTTTATACCAACGAGGGAAACATTGTTTAGGTAAAATTCGTTCTGGAACATACCTATCTATTATTAGCAAAGTTAACATGCGTGTAAAGGCCTCAACCATGCTTTCCAAGACATATTTAGATTTCCACTTAAAGGCATATTTAATAATATATCTGCTTTCGGCATCTGAAATACGCCCTTCCGGTGCTGGAAGAATAAAAAGTTGTTGAAAAAGCGATAGGAAAAAACGACGAGGTGGTTGATAAATGACGAGCGAAGTTTCAGAGAGCTGCTGCAGTTCTCGTGTATCAAACAAAAATTAATAGATTTACTCGCTGAAAGTTTGGTGTGCGCCGTCGCCACCGGCTCCACGCCATGGAAACTTCACCCTCGTAGACGGAAACTTCTAATTCCCGGGTCGCGGCGACTCGTCTAGAAAATAAAACGCAAAATACTAAATGCAGATTAGTTTTATTCATCCCTCCACTGTGGCGGCGTTGGCAGCCTCCGGTTCCCGGTTCCCGGCTCTCGGCCGCGTTTAATTTAACAGGATTTCCATAAGAAGTGTTAATTACGCGAATTTCAAATTAGTTGGTCGCCCACGGCCGCCACCAATCCCTCGACCTTCCACGTCCTGTTTCCAAAGCGTCGGTTTTCCAGGAAGAGAACAACGCTTCTTATTGATTCCCACAGTACATATTCGCAAGTCTTTGGGTCCGTAATCCCTGCTGGTAAGTCGCCCGGAAAGTTTTACGTCGTTAGGCGCAAGGTGGCAACGTAAATTACCTGCGGGCTCGGAGTTATGGCCGGAATTTTAAGCGGGAGCCTTAAGTTACCAGAACCATAAGTGGGACCAGGCTCGAATTAGGGGAAATCCGAATCGCTCGAAATATGCGCCAAAGTTTGACTTATTTGCAGTTTCGAGAGTTCTGAATTTCAACGGAAACCTTGCGGCTAATTAACCACACCAACCTGTAATTAAATCGTACACTTCCCATCAAAACGTTATCACCTAATAAAACATTAATGAATAAAAAAATCAAAAGAAACAGAATTAAACTAAAATTGAAATCCTAACTTGTCATGACGATAAGCGACCTACAAACAATTCCCCTATTCTTTACATTCCGACCTACATGCCTGACGAATCGGACAGCTCAGAAACGTCGTTCTGCCCCTTTCATGTCAGAGGCGAGCACAAGGGGCACAATGCAACGTTTATCTGATCGAAATTACAACACACCGTACACGAATGGTCGACATTTTTGTCCCGACGCGGCGCCCACGGCGTGAGTTATGGAGCATGAACGTTCGCGTAGGTGTAATCGCGCCGTGAAATTATTATAAGCGCCGCAAACTTGTCGGAGTGGCCGTGGGCGGCCGCCAAGAAGACCCCGGGGGGTTAATTCGGGACGCATTTGACACGAACTCGAACAAGAAAGTTACGGCCACCGCGAATAGTTACACGATAATACCGACAACCGTAAACCGAGTGCAAACTATCTTTATGCGGTTTCGAAAATTATCAATTATTCAATTTGAAGCTTTCAAACGAAATAAAAACTACCGACTTTATTGATTGATTGAATTGAATTGAAGTCACTTTTTAAAGATTTAAAACAAAACAGTAATTTCAATAGAAGTTGAAACAAAGTTAATTAAACAAAATGAAGCTAATTGAGTTAATGAAGTAAATAAATAAAAAGTTTTAAAACATTAGTATCATTAGGGTTGTAAAGAAAACGGAGTTTGTTTTCTGCTGCAGGCAACTGAAGGGATATTATTATTTCCAGGAGGTAGAGAATCGTAGGATGTGCTGGAAATTGGCATTAGTCGGGTAGATCCGAGTTGAAATGAGGGTGGCATAAAATAATAAAATTTAGGTCGGTTTACGACCGCAGTGGGGGTCGCGAAGCCTGCTGCAGGCGTCTCGTAAAACAGTTCCTTCCCCAAAGCAATAACCATCGCGAAACTGTCCCTCCCGTTACGCAACTTCGGCAATAACGATGCTAATCTTTTAAGTTAAGCAAAAAACATAGAGGAAAAGAGGTTTTTCCGTCGACGATGGCGTTGGCGGACATCCATCACGTATTTTTGTCGAAGAGTGGAGAGCACTCAATAACAGCGGTTGTACAGGCGTACGCAGCAGGAACATAGCGCATTGTACCACGTGACACAACGCCACTAAATCAGACGTGATGCAGTGCCGCCATCAATAACTTTGGATCACGGATGACTGCATCCACTTTGTAGGTGAGCGTAGGACGCATAAATCTGGATATGGAATGTGTTTAACCGGATCTGCGCCGGCATCGAATGTACAAATTTATTTCGGATAAATCGATGCAGATGGAGCCGGTTGGCAGCGTCCGAATGCACGGATTGGGCAAAAATGGAATTGGATAAATCTCCCGGAGGAAGTTTTATCCAATTTCAAGTTTTCGATAACACATGTTTTAGTAAAATTTACGTATAATTTCTATGACATTACATCCCAAACAGGGATTTACTATTATATTCTCATTATGTTTGAAACAGTGTGCATATTTACATGAAACTTCACAATGCACCTCTTTATCCGCTTATTCCATTTTAAAAACGAAAATCCACCTCGAACAGAAATGTTTGGACTCGTTCGGTTGATAATTCTGTTAACGATTGAATTACCAATAAATATGATTGTAAATATCTAATATTCGAAAAGCTGATTGGGATGAATGTTGTTGAATTGTACTATCAGAGAGGATTTAGCAGAGAACAGTGAATTAAAGGTGTTTTTCAGTGCTAGGTCGAAATTCAAATTCGCCACTCATTACGGAGACTAACGCGGGACTCAATCAACAAATTGAATTTAGTCAGCCGGACAATGAGCAAACAGCGGGCAGCAGAGCGCCACAAGAAAATGGGTGCAAAAAGTGGCAACCGTTCTCGCAAATGGGCGCGTGAATCTCTTTTTTATTTCCGCTCGCGGACGGCTGAATTGCCGTAGGTGGCTCCGGCTACGATGTTCGCTTATTATTTATGACGGTCGTCCCGACGCCTCGACAAACCGGCGCCCCTTTCCATTCTGTAGTACTTCACGATGGGCAAAGGGACAGAGAGACACAATCGGAAATTCAGTGCAAAGCGAGCTGCAACATTCAGTTAATTAGTGGCATTCAACTCAGTTCCTTTGAGCTATATTTCGCCTTTGTTTGGTGATTACGGATCGGCGAAAAAAGGAAGCTGTAAATTATTGCAGCGTGCAAGGTGGCTAAATTAAATTCGAACAAAGCTTTTCCAGGCCTGTGCTTTGAACGAGACGAAACTTAATTGTGTCTCTCGCTTGTGCCGTATTATTCTTCAGAATAAAGAACACCGGACGAATCAAATTATTAATTTAAGAGTTTTTAAGTACATTTACGGAATGGGTGAATTATTCGTATTTATTATTTTAATTTAATAAAAGCATCATAAAATATTAATGTATTTCAAATTTCCAATTTCGACAAATTGTATTATGGGAAACCATCGTCCTTACCCCACTACCCATTGATGTATCCTCGCGGAATCAAAATCCAGTTTCATTTTCCTCAATCTCCGGTTTCGCCGGTGATCCGGAAGTTTCGTTTGGATCGACATCTTCAGACGCAGTTTCCTTCATTTCATTCTACGTTATTTGAAATTTTGCAAAATCGATGGTAGGTAACCGAGTTTTCTTTTATATAAAAGAACTAATTCCTAATTTAGCGTACGACTACTACCACCGAGAAGATAAACAGGATGTCGGTTAAGTTGGAAAGGGGCGAAGCGCGGTGGCGGGATACAGGCGGAGAAACTAATTGTGTGTTGACAGAGGCCCCCGCCGGGGGCCTTGTGCGCTCACGTACGTCCAAGTTAAGTTAAATATCGCGGAGCAGATCAAATATGTGCGCCACCCCGGGGCGAACATAACCGATGTAATTTCCTACCGAAAACGACGCCGCCGGCGACCAACGCCTAGCGTCGCCTCACCGCGGACCAACGATGTTGCCCACAGCGATCACGTTCCGATCCTGCCCAACTTGGAAATGCATTAGGGACATCGTAAATCACCGGATTCGGGCGTTTGAATCGTGTCCGTCGTCCTGTTTACACTAGACGAATACTCTGCAACTTCCGATATCTACTTATTATTCATTTTAAACTTTTCGAAATTATATAACCGTATGTAAGCTTGCAAAGTGATTAGGATCTAAAATAATAAATTTTAGTGAGTTTATCTAGAGCAAATTTAATGAAACTTCTTGACACTTAATCAATCACAATTTCTTTTTTTACATTTTTCATTTTTCCGTTAAGATACAAAAGGGTCGTTGCCGGCCCGTCGGGTAGCGTCATTTAAAAATTAAAGCCTCTCGTACCTCGGACCGCCAGAATCTCCGCTACGGTCCACGGAGTGACCCCATTTCCTTTTTTGGGAAAGCGCCCTCCGCTTGCGTCCGATATGATTTATGACAGGCGGCAGGATCGTCCTTGTTTCTTTTCGCTTGTTATGTAAATTTTAGCTGGGCGCCGCCGACCTCCCTCACAAAGAATCGAAATAACGCGCCCGGGACAAAAGGGCAGGTCATGTGTATGTGTGTGTGTGTATACGTGTGTATGCGAGATTGTACAGAAGGATAGCAAAGGATAACTCACGTGCCAGAGAGGGCCGGTACTGGATCGCTCTACGGAAGCTCTGGATCGCCTCGGCCAACTGATTTTTACCCTGTAACAGGACGCCCCTGGAACATGAAAGGGTTGAGTTTAGAATGCGACCTACATACATCGAACAATATCGACATGTTTCCCCTAAAGGATCCATGTTGCCGTCGACATGTATTGGTTTCTTTATACAAAAAAAGATTTTAACAAGATTAATATAATTATATCTCTACAGCTTTTTAAAAATATTCTTACAAATCCTCGAACGTAAGCTTGAAAATGCACCCTCTAGAATAGGATTTTGTGTAGTAACACGGTCACGTTCGGTCCGGACATAACCTCTTCGTGATACGGCTCGAAATCTGCACGGGTAACCGGATACATTGTCATTCAACGGGCTGTTTTAGAACAGGACCTAACGCGGGTCCTGTATGGAGAGCTTGTTATCCGGAGGACGAGCAATCCCGACCGACGCCGTCCCGACGCCCTGTTTTGCGTCCAGTTTGATTGTTATTTGATTACTGGAGGAATAGTTGGGCGAACTACCATCCCGACTGGAAAGGGGGCTCTTTTACTTCCCATCCCAAGATTGCGCCCTACTATTAATTGTTTCCGCCTTGGCCCATTCTTACACGTGCCGCGCGTAAACTAATTAGAAGCGACCGCCATAACGGCCTAACCCGCACCATCTACGAGGATAACGAGAATTTAAATTAATAGATGGCTATCTCCCTCACAACAGGATACGCTACGGGACACGACTAGCCATTCTCTCGACTACTAACTATAAATTTTCACAGAATTAAATAAAACTAGAATGTTTGTCCTTTTCATCACAATTGCTTTAATTTATTGTACTAATACAACGTTCGCTGAGTGCTTAGTGTTAAAAGATCTACTCCAACTGTAGAACTCTATATTCATATATAAAACTATAAATAACTATAAATATCAACGTAAATGGTATCATGATGTGATTCCCATCAAATATCTATATATTATTAGACGTGATGAAGACGCCAACAAAATAGTTGTTCTACAAGAATATAGATACATAAGTAAATGTTGCTAAAAAGAACCAAGATGTACCTTGGACGTTCTTCCAATATGTATTGATTACGGTGAAGGCCACCTACTTATTTACCGTAGATGCATTGCAACTTGAGGAATCAAGTGTCAAACATTAGATTGAGAAGCCAACAAACTTGCCCATAGATCTTAAAAATTCTTGATCTCGTAGACTTCAATATAATCAATTGGTAATTGCGATATACATATATAAATGTTGCATGTACGTGAAATCTAATAGTGACAAATTTAAACCCATACCGTCCAACCACGCATATAATTCTAGAAACATCAACATATTAATTTTAGACTTGCACAACTCGGCATTGTACGAAAACACGTCGCTCTACTCGTGCGCCAAAATATTTAACAAATTACCAAATGATGTTAAATATTTACCTTTGAACAAATTTAACATTATTCTTAAACAAAAGGATCATGGAAGCAAGCTACTATTCTCTAGATGAATATTATAACGTTTAGTTTATTCTTTTCTTAGCTTATTATGTATTTATTGTCTACTATATTATGCACTTGTTTTCTTTTACTGACATACCTTATACTATTGATTGTAGTCTAAAAGGGTGAATAAAGGTGATTTGATTTGATTTGATCAAGAATATCTAGAAAGACCCAGAAAATATGCAAAATTAATATAACAATCCAGAAAAATTACCTTCCCAAACCAGTCGATAAGGAAACAGGTTGGCAAAGTTATTTGTTTTGGAACAATTAATTGATTTCTCAGTCCCATTGAAACCTTAGATTACAACATACAGCAGGCAACTTGCTAATACTCCTCAGATTCGATGTAGAACATGCAAAACTGTAGCAATCTTATAAACTATGGAATATAAAATATCCCATCAAATTGTGTGTATCCACAAAGATCCAGATGATGCCCAGTATAATAGTCCAGAAAGATTACACACCCAAACTATTTGATAAGCAAACACACTAACAAAGATGTTTGTTTCACTGCAATTAATTGATCTCGGAGTCTACAGCTTGGGAAGTTACTTCTGAGATTCGATGTAGAACAAATGGAGGCAACTGCCTAAAAGAAATTAGAAACTACAAAAAAACAGAAAATTACTCACTTTGCCAAGTCATCAAACAACTGAAAAGGTCTATTGTACATAGTGCTCCAATTAAAAATAAAGATGGAAGTTGGGTTCGAAATACACAAAAAAAAAATAGGAACAGGAAGACATAACTATTAGACCTACGTGTACTCTAAATACCCCAAATCCTAGTTGTTAAAATATCATTTCAGAACAAAGCAAAAAAAAAAGTCTTTGATTTGAAAGAAATAAAGGCCTCAAAAAATGTATGCTAAGTCCAGTACTCTACTTATTAACTGAATGTAATATTATTGCAGCGTCAGTTGACGATAGAGTCATACTGATCCTATAAATAAACAAGATTCTCTACGTGAACTCAGAAATATACCAAGAAATGACACTTGACACAAAACTGCTCTAAAAAGTTTATGTTAATAAGAAGAATTGAGTTTGTGAGAAGACTGAAGAGATTCAAACCTTTACTGGTTCAGTGGAAGTTGAGAGAAAAATGACTAAAGTTATGATTATAATTATTAGAGGTATTTTACAAGGAAAACTAAAAATGTGTAATCTCAAAGACTTTGGTAAATGTTACAGTATATGGTGAGATGTTAGAGTATAGGTCAACGAGTATGGGAAACAACTGTAGTAGATGGAGTTTGGCAGCAATGTAAATCCATTGCGGCGCGTGTAAACTCGAATTAGACGAAGTACGGCGAAGTGAAAATTCTAGTCGGAGGTTGCAGTATCCGGTAAATGGGCCCTAACTCTGGTTTACGCGGGCGTTGCAGCGCCAAACCAGACACCGTTAAACCTTAGTGCCGTGATAAGGAGGTCAGAAATCCCGCTGCCGCTCCATTACGGGGCCCCGTAAGCTCCGGACGTATTTATTGCACGGCTGGTCGAATGTCGATGAATTATTCAGGCGGTTTGGAAACGGAATCGATTAAGGGCAGGTGTCCCCCACCTGCGCGGAGCCGGGTCACGCGCCCCGCATAATTAGAACCTCCTCCAATTCGGCAACCCGATGACAAATCCTCTTTGAACTAGCACCCAGAATGATAATTTGATAAGGGCCTCGAGTTCTCGCGATTAAAAATTCTGCTTGTTCCTCTCGAACTGGTAATGCGAATCCATCAGCTTAATACGAACGGAAACTGCCTCCATTCTTTTTTTATACCACGGCACTTCCTCGACCTCTTGATTCCAAACTTACCGACAAAACTTTTCTGAACCCTTCAACTCTTGAAAGTCAAGAGAAAAAAGTTCCCCACAGTTTCGCTTTTACAAAAGGGTCTCCCACATTTTTTTTTAACCTAATTATTAATTATTTCTTATTTCAACCCTATCTAAGCAAAGGTTGCAGGGGTGTCACCCTTCACCGACCTTACAAGTGGTAATTGACGTATCCCTCGCAACGAAATTAAACGAGCACACAACAGCGGCAAACGAGTGTATCGAACAAAGCCGTTCGCCCTATTCGAACGCAACCCTCACCCTTAATCGAACAAATGAACCACGGTCGACTGAGTCATCTGAAACGCGGCAGATTGATGACTCACGACCCTACGGGGATAGGTAAATAATTTAGTTAGAGGGGGCACTACGTCACTACGACGAACATTCGGCGTCAATTATTCGAAATAACGCATTTTCACCCTATACGTGATAAATGTGACCGTTCCAATAACACCAAACGTATATCGAGCTATCATTATGTGATTAAAATGTACTACTATTTATTTAAAAATAGTGTTTGATTTATTGTATTTCAAGATGTTTTTTATCCATCTATGATCTTTAAAGTTTGTAGCAACACCTAACATAGGATTTGTAAAAAGAGTTTCACCAATTCACAATATTCACACCTTTCTATTCAATAAATCTTGCCTAATCTCAGGGAGGCCCCCTAAAATGGAGCGAAAGGGCCGAAGGAGTTGGGTGGTAGATAGTAGCGGCTTTCTTTACTGGCCACACGGGGGCGCGCGTTCCCCATAAAAAGCCCCGCTATTATCTCCCGTAGCGTACAAATCACTCCCATCTGGGAAGTCAATATCGTTTAGGTATTACACCGGAGGAGTTGAGACTCCCTCGGTATCAAACGGCGGAAATAATTCACGCTTAAGACCCCCCTCGTAGGGTTTCGTTGAGTTTCTGGTCGGTTCTAAAAGCATAAATTTCTGATATCTTTAGGGGTAAACAATCGGGCATCTAAAACTTTGACATGAATTGACTCTGGTTTGTAGCAAACTCTCATTAACTATATTCATTGGCAGCGCAATAATTATGCGGCCACGTAGCGGTTTCATTGTCGAAAGTTCGCGCGATGTTTATCAATAAGCCGAGAAATTCAATACGTCATTTTGTAGACTGAAACTTACGTGCATCAACTTCGCGTGAATGCAGTTTGTTATTATTGGCTTGCCTTGGAAATAATTTTGTTAGGACGGCTTATGCTTCGCCCTGTTTAAGAGGAATGAACCGGCCTCGAGATAAGTAGACGGAAGCTCCTCATTTATTTAACGTTTATTCAACGGCTCAGGACTCCACTGCAATTTTCATCGGATCTTGTATTCAGCTCGCCCCATCGGCTTGGTATTAATTAATTAAAACCGTAATAATTTTCCATCTCTCACTTAGCAGCTCCTCCTTCTTACACGGAAATATGCATAAAAATTACGAAAGGAAAACCGGAGATATGCAACGAGAACGGGATAATTTGCGTCACCACCAGAAGCAGAGTTTCAGCGGATTTGCTGTACTCGTGGACGAAATGAGATAACGGACTCGCCGTTGGTCGTAAACAAATCCAGGACGAAGAGATAATGTCATTCCTCTCGGACAATAAGCCTTCGAACTGCGGTAAATTTTATGTACCAACGCTGCCGCTGTCGCTGTTGTACCACGGTATACAATCGCCTATCGATTTGATGGCACATCGGCAGAAATCACGTTATCAATGTATAGTACAAATCAACACTCTATTCATGAAGAATTAATTAAAACTTGCTCCGAAAAAACCTTATAATAAAAATCACATGAATTCTCTTAAATTTTATTATCTTAAAATTGTGTTAATTTTAATAGAATTTACTAGGTTTTGATGAAAACATTTAATTCCGTAATGTGCTTAAGAATTCCACAATCGTCGGGCATGTAATCCGAGACTATATCGAGTCACGCGATGCAATTTAAATGCAAATCGGCTCTAAACGATTGAAACCAGAAGCCAATTGCATTAATAAATCATGGGCACAATTAGAAGGAATTTCCGTTACAGGATTGCCAAGGGAACGGGTAGTTATTAAGCGATTTCTTTCGGTATCTGTCTGCGAAAAAGCGCGCGTCCGGAAAATAACTCGATAAACGTATTTGCCCGACGATTTGCGGTCCAAAATCCTTTCTGAGACATTAACCCATATAACCGCGTGCACTAAGCGATTCCAGGCATGCACAGGCGCGTTTCCCCATTTTGCCGACGGGTACGGTGGCAAAACTGGAAATTGTGCGACCGACGGCGCCTTATCGATTCCCGATCTGCCGAATCAAAGTTACGCCAAGTTGCACAATAACTTTGGAAACTGAGCCGTACATCGCGTACACCGAATCCCGCAGAAACAAGAACAACGAGACTGTACGGTTAATTTACCGGAATAACGGGCACAATTTCGAATCGTCCCACTGTTAGTTACGTCCTAGCGTGCCCTCCGGTCGTATAGTTATGCGAAATTTCCAGGTTACGTCTTACGACTGCTAATGCATACCCCGGAAAAAACAATCTACATTTCGGCATTGTGGAAACAACGATGCGAAACCGCATTTGGTGAAAACCAGCCGTCATTTCCATTCAAATTCATTCTATTTACGAGACCGTAAAGCTGACATTGTCGAGCGTTTACGATTATGGCGTAACTCATAACATTTAACTTGCAACTGATATCTATATCTACGGACCGTGTATTCTTGTAATAAAACTCCATACAATTAAAACAAACAATTAGAAAACCATTAGACCCTATTTTTTTTAACCAAAAGCTTTGGGTACCTGTTTTCTGGGATCAAAGGGAAGGGTTTCTATACGAGGTACGTTTTAAATGTAGTTGCGGCGCTTCAGGGCACCCTGTATTGATTAGCGCTCGCATTGAAAAGCGAAGGGAGCGTAAATAAAAACAGACACTTAACAGGGCGCTTTTTGCAGAGACGCGGCGTTTAATTTCGCGCAATAGGGGCGAAATTCGTTTATGCGAACATTGAGCGCAGGTCGACGCGTTATCGCACCCTTATTCATTGCGCTGGACCAAATCACTTCACCTTTTGTGCCCGTTTTCAATTAATCTGTCAGAAGTGCTTGTAATTGCCGATTTTGTTCACTTTTGAAATTCAAAATCTTTATCAAAATCGTTTCAATTTCTAGCATACGATGTTAATTATAATCGTTGCAAACCGGGATAAGTAGAGGGTGGCGATAAACGCGAGACAAAGGGTGGAAACGTTAAGCAAGGAGTTAAGGAGCGGGTGGAAGTTGAGAAGCCGAGGTAATTAGCGGTAATTCCACACGGGAAGATGGGAAACTGATGAGCCAGCGAGGATTTCGCTTGCCCGAGGATTACACAATACGTTTGGACGAAATGTGGGCGGATAAGGTGGGGTTTGAAGTCGACGTGCCCTCTGCATCAGGTCACGGAAGCAGCTGTAAGAGGTCCGGCACGTAATAAAGTCTAAAGGTTGGCGAGGGAAACAATGTGTTAGTTTTCTGTTGTTTCCTACCGTGTTGAAAGCATTAATAAGTTAAAAGCTTTCTCAGTTGCGATCTCTTCTATAAATGGAGAAAGAGAAAGGTGACTTTGAATTGAGCACCTTTTCACATGATACATTAGATATGGTTGAAAACAGTTACATGATCGTTAAACGAAGGGAATGAAACGTATTGCAGAAGTCCATTACTTCCCTATTATGTCGGTCATTTAATTATAATTCGAGAGCCAGTCGTCGGCCGATAGATAGTCGACACCATAACAATCGGCCCATTCGGTTCACCCATATCGTATCGGACCGCTTGTTGGGACAGCTTAGGCCATAAAATTAAAGCTAATGCATTTGACCATTAAACCTGGATTATTTACGGATGAGATAACAAACGGTCGGCATCGTAAATTGTTGATGCGCGCATTTCGTGACCGGCGACATCTCTCGTCGTGCTTGGTATCAATCGGCGTATTGGCACACAAAGCTAACTTCGCCGCACCAACTTACTGCCGCTCTAATCTCGGTTGTTACCAGAAAATTGCTTCGTGTCCTGGATAGAATATTATTATCGTCGCGTCGTCGCTCCACGAAAATAGTAACGACAGTAAAAAGAAACCTGGACAAGGTACACGCTTTAGTATTCCGTAGAAATCTCGTACGTTAGTGCGGAGGATAAGGGAATAATCCCCGACATAAAATCGAACGACCTTATCGCTTAGCTTGCCATATGTCGAGCTCCTCGTAAAATGGCTTTTTGCGCATAAACGCGGAAAACCGTAAACCGCTAACGCGCAGATGAATGTATATTCAGCGACGACGACCGATGTAAAGTGCTCCCGAAGGAACTTCTAAACGAAAAAAAGACGCCTCTAAATGTAGAAATGTAATCCGATTTTCGATCGCATCAGCATACGTCTAACAGAACCGTTGTGACTCAAAAATGAGCGTCGATGGGACGTACCGCAAAAGCGATTACCGGCGTCGGAACCAACCGTCCCCATTATATGCAATTGCCGGGCGCATCTGATTGAATGGACCAATAATTGCGCACCGCATTTTCAATCAGTTGTGGCGACCACGTCCGTGATTGATAGCTAATTATTTTCGAATCGGCCAACGCTTCCTATGCATGGCTGCAACCGTCGGTCTGTGGCCAAAAATTACACCACCACATACCAAAATGTTCGCATACGAATTAGAACACCATCCATTAAAGTACTTCAACCACAATTTAAAACTATTTAAATAAAAGTACTATCCAAAACGTTATATCATTTTCAAAATAATTCAAATCAGGTCACAAATGTAGCAAAAACGACCTAATTTTGCAAGAGAACGTTGTAAATGCAACGGCAATGGAACGAACGAAGTGAATTAAACAAGGAAATCAAGTTTTGATAAAGCCACTCGTCGCAGCGCGGATGGAAACGTGGTGGCGCTTTGTTCGCGGTAGTATCGATCCCGAAGTCCAACACGTGAAACCGGCGAGGGCGGCGCTGCCGACGTAGGGCTGAAGAGGACCGAATGAGGCCGCGGGTCCATATCTGGCCCAAAGGTCGTAAACGGCAAAAATTGCCGGTTATTTCCCGGAATGGGCCGGTTTAAACGCCGATAAACGCGTGTTTACGGCTCGTCGTATTTGCTAGGGACCCTCCCGATGCGACGCAAACACGATCTAGGATAAAGAGAAAGGATATTGCGGATCTTCAATTGGTAAAGAAAAGGTTATCAGAAGAAATTTGTGTCGTATCTTAATTACAAAATGACGTCCGTATAACAAGAGGGAAGTAGTTAAGTAATATTAATCAGTCAAACTGCACATTTCGATTTTACAATCTAGTTTACAACGTTCGAGTCGTCTTTTTCGGGGTTTCGTAGGAAGACTTGTTTTATGCGACCCGTAGATGCTCGAGAACAAGGATGTAGGTCCCGTAACACAGATCTCCACTCCGTCCCAGTTAACGGCCCCATTTTATTGTCCCCAGGTTCGAAGATTTACTAACTGTAATTCGGCCCACGTTCGTATCCCTCGTTATTTTCCGGTAGAGTCTTTGCGGGCGCCTGCCGCGGCCTCATTACGCTCCGGAGCTCGACACGGCTCTTTTGATGTCGGAGCAAATATCGGACTCATTCCGGGTGGATCGCGATGCTCTAGCAGTAACTAAGAGGTATCCAACGATGGAAGAAGTCGCGTTGTTGCTACTGCTTAAAGTCAAAGGGACCTCTTCACTGCTCCACTCAAAGAATCCTTTACTCCTCTACCTTTGTTGCCGACCATGTCTACTTCATTAATGGTTTTTCAAATAACTCGAGGCTCAAGATAAAACCACTACAGGTAATTTATAAACTCATTCATTAATTTTATACACATTTTGTGACATTTCCTGTTTTAAATCACTTTATATTTGAAAAAAAAAAACGTCAAATAATAACAGAACATAAAATGTCGTAACAATTCTAATTTATATAAGAATTAAAAATGGTATCTACAAAAGTTGGAATTTCCAGCGGAACTAAAACGAATTCCTTCATGAAATCATCACGATCTAACAAATTAGATCCCCTAACCTTTCCATATATCCGACCAGAAGATGGAGTAAAATCATATTTATACTCGAAAAAGTGTAATAAAAAAACAGTGCCACACAGCTTATCTCTAATTGACTCCAGCTTACCATCTCTAAAACTGCAAAAGTTATATAATACGCGCCTAAAAGAAGAAAGAAATATATCACTTATTGAAAAAAGACAAATAAACAAGCGTCGACGCAAGAAATTGGACCGACAATGGAGCCAACTTACATTACTTGAAACCAAACTGAAACGCAATTTTGAAACTTTCAATTATTTTATAACGGCAAATCATAGTAAAAAGAAACGATTAATAACCAACATTAAATTTCAAACTAATCTTATTACTAGCAGAGAAAAGCAAATAAACGAATTAAAAATAAAATATGATAAACTTAACGGTATTAAGTGTCTTATGCAACAAAAAATCAAAGAATTCAGTATATATTCAGATTATTTACAAAAAGTATGCGACATTACAAAGGGTTTTCAGAGTTTGGCAGATAGCGCACAGTATCATTTTAAAAACGAAACAGATATCATAAACAAATATGAGAATTTCCTTGTTTCTAAAAAGATGATTTTTGCCCGTCATGAATATTATCGTATGGAAATCGAACGGATACAAAATATGTATTATAAAATGATCAAGGAAAAGTACGACAACTTGCAGTCCTTGGAACTCTTTTTAGCTACAATAATAACAAGATTCAAACTAGCTAGACAAGAATCCGCAAGATGGGAAAAACAAGTTTACGTGATTCTAGAAAGATCATTGTGTATTAAACGAGATAATGCTGATACTCAAATGGATATTCAAAGCTTGTATCGACAATTCGCGGAACGAAACAATATTACCCACCGATTAAATGTTACCGATTATAAAGAACAATTAGATTATATCAAATCATGTTTGAATAAATTGGATAAGGTTTTAAACATAATTAAGCCCATGGAAAGAATCGTATAATCTTATTTATAATCTATATCTTTAATTTATAATTTACAATAATATTTTTACAATTGTAAGGACATAATCCTGAAAATATAACTATAATTATTATTTTGATGTATATATTGAAGTAAAAACAAGTCACCAGTTGCATTTTTTCCTAAAATTGTAACTAAAATCGTAAAATCAAAATACTTATTAATATGAAGGTTTCATGAAAAGTTTTTCCTTCCTAAAACCAATCAGGGAAGTTTTCATGGAAACAAAATATAACATAATCTTTTTATCTCGTACCTGTTGTATCCCTAAGTACAATCTAGTTTGTCAAATATCATCACCCCCTACTGCGTAAAGTTTTCAAAGCTGATCGTGGTGATTACATAAGAAATTAAGCTTTTGTAGTTTAAGCTTTAGAATCAGCTTGTTGTTTCCGGTTCTGCATGGCTAGAGTTGAAAGAAGTGAAAGATTAAATAATATAAAGATACCTAATGGATTGGTTTCGACATGTGACTCCATGTTACGGAGCTATGTTAGGCGTTGTTGGTTCTGGAAGGTTTCTAGAAAATGCTCCATAGTATCCTTGTATCATTACTTTCTAGTTCTATTATTTCAGTTGTGGTTAATCCTAACATGACATTTTTGCTTAACTGTTTAAACGTAAATTTCAGACTATTAACCGTTGTTACAATGAGTGACAGAACAATTAGGAAATTAAGAATAAATGAAGAGGGAGGTTTATTTGTGTTTTGTTTATATAGAAATAATTATACATAATTTTTTTTAAAAAATTTAGTTATTATATAATAACTCAATTTCGTGCGATGAAGTATTAAACACGTGGACTAAAGTCTATAACATTGGGCAGAAGCACTGTTATTTCTCAAGAACTCTGCAGGAAGTGAAACATATAAAATTACCTTAAATACAATAATAAGCCCATTAAAAGGAATACGTAGACTAAAGTCTATAACACTGGGCAGAAGCACTGTTATTTCTTAAGAAGATGAAGAACGGCTTGCAGATGGACGCCGAATAATGAAAATATATGGATTCATTTGTATATAATGTAATATGGTCCTTTTAACATTTAAATCTTTAACACTGGAAAATTGTTCTACATAAGTATAGAATGTCGACAAAACCAATCCTGCTAAAACGTAGGTAGTTGGAGCAAAAAAACTGTCTTCTAGTCGAACAGTCAGTGGTCCAGGGAGAGAGAAATTTACTGTTTTACTTGTAGCCTCTGCTTCTGGAAATTAAGTGACACCTCTCGTTATATTTAAAGGAAAAAATATCGGGCATCAGTGGCATGTACTAAAAGAAACTAGATTTTCAGGTTGCGCAATAGCTGGATGGTGCACAATATTTCCAATTTTAGGTTGAATAGAAGAAAGCGCACAACGTAGATTACTAGCAATACTAAGTTTATTTTATTTTTTATAATTATATTGCTACAACTGTAAAAAACGCCCTTTGTACAAATAAGTAGAATAGGGTAAATACAGTTGCAGCGCTTGCTATGTTATGCCGGGATAAATTTTGAGATATATTACCCAGAATAGTGACATATTTGACAACAGAATAATTTTTAATTTCCAAAACTTAGTAGTGTTTCTGGTAGCTCATCATCATGGTAGCGATTCGTAGCCAACTTATAAATGTTATCATCGAACGAGTTAGGAAAATAACGTTGAATTTAGCGCTGAGGTGCTGCAAACGGTTCGATATTTTATTCTCTATATTATCAGTGTCCTCTAAAGCCTCCTTTAAATGCGCTTCCTTTGAGATTGAAAATAATTTAGGAAAGCAGGAATAATTGCATGGTAAAATTTTGCGATTTCAGAGTTGCAATTTTTTAATATACGTCGTGATGCCATCTCGATGATAAATTATGTACGATTGTAATTTCAGGTTTTGTGAATTCAAGGAATCGAAAATATCCGATAGATATGTTAATACTGCTAAGACAGTAGGTTTTCTGTATTCAATATACAGTTCAGTTTGTTTTTGGATTTCTAAAAACACAATTACTTTTTGAAGCTCATATAAGCTTGCTAATATATTTCGTTTTAAGAGTATAATGTTTTATGTTCTGTGCCCAAATCTTCACAAAAGACCTAATTGACAATTTTAATGCATAATTTTGAAGAATCGTTGAATAGCGGCTACTTTAGGGTTTCTTTCTTTGACCAATTGTACGAATCCTGAGCGAGAGCCTATCAACTTTTGCCATTACAGTTCATGTTTGTCAAAGAAATCAGAGATAGCTGTCAGACTCTGTAGAAAACAGCATTTCGACCTTGATTGTCTCGTTATATACAGGGTGATTCAAAAAACCGCTGACAGACTTCTAGGGCAGGTAATACATCAAAAATTAAGATGAAAACTCTTAATATACATGGGGTCGCAAATGCCTCCTTAACGAGATATAACGGGTCAAAGTTTCTATAAAATTAAACATTATCTGCAATAAAAACCCCATTTTTAAAAATATTTTCAACTCCACTGCCAATATTCTCAAACGGGCAGTATTTTCGTGATTAGTAAGTAAAGTGATTAATTATCTATCAATTGGTCTCTTACAAAACTTTGATTAAAGCAACAGTTTTTGATGGAATTAACAAATTTTCTACAAACGTGTTTTTCTTAAAAACTATTGCTTTGATCAAAGTTGTGTAAGAGACCAATTGATAGATAATTGATCACTTTACACGCGTAGAGTGCAATGGCGTAGACAATATTTTTAAAAAAGTGCTTTTTATTGCAGATAATATTTAATTTTAAAGAAACTTTGATACGCTATATCTCGCCAACGAGGCATTTCCGCCCCATGTATATTAAGACTATTCATCTTAATTTTTCTTGTATTATCTACTCTAGAAGTCTATCACCGGTTTTTTGAATCACCCTGTATATTGAACGAAAACTAGAAATTGACAACAATGTGCCTCATCTCTAGTCTTGTCCAATTGCATTGCGAAAAACTTAGATTTTTTCACGGTTTTCTATTACCTGAATTTTCATGTCTGCTGCCATATCATCGATGTGACGTTTCACAGTATTGTCAGAAAGCGGTATATGTGAAAATTTTTGTTTACATTATGGTCCAAGAAGAATAACTTCAACGTGATGAGTCACATGCTCAACACAAGAGGCGATCTGGCGAAAAGATTGCATAAAAGTTAAATACAATACAAAATTCGAACTGGCGTGTCCCTCGCTTCTGCCAGTACTGATCCATATGCTAATTACATTATTTTAAAATGGTCATAACTTATAATGGAAAAGCAAAGTAATATTATGCGTCTCACACATAACTTCAAAAGTAACCAGAATTTTGGTAAAAAGCCATTTTTCTTGTACATAACCTCAAATATCTCAAAATCTTGACGTGATGGTCCAATTCTGAGTTCGAATTCCGATACAAAAAATTACTCCGGAAATGATCGACCATCCAACAACAATCAACACATTTTATTTTGCAGAACTGTGTATTGATTTACGTTTATTTTTTAAGACACATAAAAGCTTTTTAGTGTGTACAGTAAATGTAGATAAGATGTCGTTAAGAGTACTCAAGTATTAATAAGTTAGAAAGTTCTTTTTTGTTTTTTATTACAAAGAGAAGCATAGAAATACCAGGCGTATGAATAAATTATATTTTAATTCCGAGTGCACCGACCAACGAATCGATTTCTCGTCAGCCGAGCTCGAGGCATTCAGTTTTTACGGTCAAACAAACTCGATCGAGAAGTTCGCGGAAGTCGATTCGGTCGTTACCGGGGGTTGGTTGGTGGCGGCTTCGGCGCCCTGCGACGACTCGTTAGGGGCTAGTGAAAAGTTTGAAAGGTAATTGAGCATAAAGTCGAGTGAAGAATGGCTCGCAATATTACTCCGGAGCTGCCACCTTTACGTCCGCAGAAGGTTCGGCTTTTGAACGGAGCACGTTGCTAGAAGTCATCATCGTTCATCGTTCACGTCGACCTCGCGTGGAAAGCGATTCTTGAGCTGGATTCGCCTACACGTTTCACTGAAATTTAACCAACTATATATAGCAAGGATCCGCACTGCAGGAATATCCACATCTTAATCTCAATAGAAGATGCACGGTCGATGTTATATAGTGAAGGTGTTTTATGTAAGACGTTTCTAGGTTTCCGTTTCTAAATGGCAGGTGGAAATCTCGTGGTAAGCCGCAGGGGTGAAGAGGGTAGAGAGCATAGAGCGCTCCGGTTGAGATATTGAAATTCGATTTGAAGTGACAGGATTTGTTTGCTTATCAAATACAGAGCTATCGGCAAATATTTACGTGAAGTGAGAAAGTTTGCCGAATTTATTTGCTGTGATATATCGACGAAGCTCGCCTCGGGTTCTACAAAATTTTTCCCTCCTTTCCCTTTCGTCACCGATTTACTCATCTCTATAAGGAAACAACCTTTTTCGTAAGTAACACAAACTCTTTATTTACCTCTACCTACTCAAAATATAAAATAATAGAAAGCCAACAGAAAATTCGATTACAAGTTTTACAAAAATGTATAGTTAGAATGGTTAATAAACCTATTTGATGTTCATAATGAACATTTCCGTACAATAGTCTCTGAACACATAAAAGCAGAATTTTGAAAATTCCGTGTGAACGAAGCGTATTTTAATAAAACCCTATAGTGAAACTTTGGAAAATGTTTGTTTTAATAACACGGCGGTAGAATGCAATTGATGCGAGCGATTTAGCGCGTTCCATTGTTCCCGAATGAAAATGTGTACGATATAGCACTATTTATATCACGCCGATATGAGCACTATTACGAGGCATGGCTGCAGATGTCGCCCAACAAGCAAAATTAGTCGCAATTAAACCGAGCACTTAAACTAACTGAATAACTAAAACGACCTTTTTGTCAAATGTTTAAAAAATATGATGATGAAATGCAACTTTATGCACCGATTAAATTCGATTAAATCTACTACAAAACGGGGCGCGCGTTTCTAAAAATAAACGTCACATGCAATATCTAAACGAGGGACATAAAATTATGCCATAATGTCACCGTCTTCGTAATTAAGTCCGACCACGAGTTATAACCCTGTAAATTAATATCGTTGAAATTACAGATCGTATCACCTTTATACACGCTACCATACACTAAGAAAGAGGCTGAAGAAGCACCTCAAACTTTTCCCTGAAAGTTGTCTTTCCATTTACGTTCCTTTCGACGCTTTTCAAAGCCACACGCGAGCACCCCTTTGCGCAAAATAATCGTGATTTGTAGCACCCGTGGTTGTAAAAACGACACGTCGTTTAATGGGGTTGACGATGAAAATGGTACACGCAATGTTGGCATTTCGATGCGTGAACGAATTACGACGTTTCCCTGCTTATTACGGAATGACGAGATTAATTCTACTTCTTCAAATAAAAAACATTTCAAATATAAGCTTAAGTTATTATGATTTAGAAGTAATAGTATAACGAGGATTATAATTTCAAACTTAATCTATATTCAATGGGACTCAATGGGATTCAATATGCTGGATATATATCTCTACATTATGTATAATATAGTAGATTAATGTGCAAACCTGTTACTATTAACTCCCTGAATACATATTTGAATAGTATTGATTTTAATGGAATGGTTCAATCCTCTCATGACATTTACATTTTATTAATAATTCAAAAATTATAACTACAACAAAAATTGGATTATTGACAGTTGTTATATTTTATTCAATTCGAAATCAAAATGTAATTTACCTTTTAAAAGATAATAACCGATAAAGGGTAACTACCGCTAGTTATATCAGATTGCACCTGAAGCATAGGTCAAAAGCAGGTACTCACTCTTGCCCGAATACTCGAAGGTCCACTTCAACTCTAACAGCTCAGGTCATGAGTATCAATTAAGTTAATAGAGCGTTACTATTTTAATGAGAAATTTTTCTTTGTCAAAAACTTTTAAAGTACGGTTTTATAAACGAATTAAAATTGCAACTAAAAGAAGCTTATGGTTTGCATGCGGTGAAAGTACCTTTCCTAATAACGTAGATGAGTGGTAATCAATCTGTTGAGTTTGACCTCTTCGAAAACAGGCGCTTGTACCAGCCACTCGTCAAGTAATGGGTAGTTTCCTGGTTCGCGTGCACCCCAATGGATCACGAAATCACTTGCAATCAATCAAGAGAGGAGCGCAACGTTGCGTTATTATCAAACCACATCCAGCAATTTTGGGATAATTAGTGACCTCAATATCGACCTCATCATTACATATTTATGTAAGAGGATTCATCGAAAATTATAGATCGTCCTTTGATCCTTTCCCTCGTATAGATACTTCTCCGAGCGGAGCTAATTTGACGAAGCGCGGCGAGCTTTCGATAGGAAAACGTTCCGAACGAATGGTCGAATCGATATTTGCGGCGATAATAGCGGGACGGGCCATTCAACGGTAATTGCAGTCGCCGTTCACGGAAAACGGGTCACCGGTGCGCGCTTTTCTGCTCCTCAGGTCGATAGTTTGCAATGCATTACGGCAACAATTGGAATCGAAATGCATTTCATGTGTTAGGTCGACGTCAATTTTTTATCCGACCCCCAATATATGTGCATACTTATAATTGCGCCCGAATTTTACACCCATTTATTTCCAATTCGCGCATTTCCTCCATTGATTTTTTAAGAATGAAAAAAGAAATCTGAGCGTTGTTAGAAACCCATAATTTTCGTACGCACGATTTCTCAGTTCGCGATTTCTCTCTCTGAAAGGAATGCAATTAACGAAAAGAAAGGCCACGATTAATTCAAAAAAGCGGTCCAACCCACTCCGGATGAAATATTTTCGCGTTTAGGGGATAATCGAGGACCGCTTCCTATTCGCTTTTCGCCGAACAACTTTTCATTCCGGACGTTTTCGTCTTCTGATTAATCTGGTTCAACGAAACAATCGATAGGTACGCGGGGAGAAAATTTAGTTGTACCAAAATAGAACCGGCCGTTTTGATTGTTACACTATAATAACAGCCGAAAAAAGTTATTAAATTTGGAATGGTAGCTCAAATCCCTGGGTGAAATCCCGGTGGGAGGAGTTTTCCCCGTAATGTATATGTTGCGGTGTCCCTTTAGTATTAGGGCAGCATAATCTCGCGACAACAATGCTCTCTGGTGGCCGGTTCTAGCAAAGGTGGTGATACGTCGATAAGGACCTCGCCAACACCAGCTACCATACCATCCCCTATTGTTCCCCCACACCGTATATAATTCAGATTTCATTGTTATCCGACGATATACAGAGATTGTATTTTCAAACCGAAACAAAATAAGACTTTTCAGAATTCAAGATAACATAAATTGGATCATTATTTTTAAGTACCAATAACAAAAGAGAGTAGGTATTGTTATACTTACAGATTGTAGTGGACATCCGCCATGTTAGGCCTATACTGAAGCGCTCTCCTGAAGGCGATTTCAGCTTCGGCTTTTCGACCACTGCTACTAAGAACGCTGCCCAAGTTTCCATAAGCTGAAACCGCAAGAAACGTTTATCGTTTGATCTGGAGGAAGCCTGAAAGCGTGGAAAGCTTGCGTCACGCGAACGGCGCGTTTCGGGCTAACTGGTAATTGGATTAGTTCGCAACGGCGCCGCCCTTTGACAAAGTCGGACACGCACGCGTTCGTCGATTAAATATTTGACAAGTGCAGAGGCGCCATATAGTTAATAACGCCGGGTACTAAAATAATGAAGCACAAGTATGGCTGCCGCAGCCCCGAAGCGACAGAACTCCGCAGTTCATTAATTACCGGTGTGCTCTCGAAAGTTATCGTCGCGGTCTATTTTTAATGCAATTAACTCGACGTACTTATTTAACACGACCCGCAGAGTACCAGTTTTCAGTGTCGTTTTAGAAACGAAAATTTTCAGCTACCCACTTTACACAGAAGCGACACGACCGTGGAAGGTTATCACTAATTAATGGTATACAAGTTTGCAGTATGCTATTGATACAAATAATATTTTATTTATTATATAGAATGTTGTAAAATTACTACTAAAGCTTTATTAAGTGCATTATCGTGTATAGTTACAATTTATTTCTAAGCTCATTAAAGAATCATGTCATTGGTGAGGCAATTTTCTGATGCTATATGTGTTATGTTGTATATCCTATATATTGCGTAGTTGTTAGGGGATTTCCGTTACGTGGGTAATTATAAAAGACGATAATGCTTCAAAAATCCCTATTCATAACTATGAAAATGAATGTCTTGAAAAAAATATCGGCTCAACAGTACAGAAAAATTTTTGATTTCGGATATTAAGGAAAAAACTAGTTGTTTGTCGTGCAACAGTTCTTAAAGTTCTGGGTATTACTAAACTAAGAGTAGAGGGATTAGCACCTTGGTAATTTTTTGAGCGCAAGTCCGCAAGAAAAGAGAAGCGGTGATAGAAAGACAGCTAAGTTTGTTTGAAACTCTGATACTATAAAAACTATAAAAAAATCTATTCAGCATTCAAATACACAGAATTTCATTGCTGCAGAGAGCGAAGTTCAAAAGACTATTTTGGTAGTGATTTCAAATGTATAGATATAGTATGAAATGCAGGTTTCAGAAGGTTTTTCTTACATTTTTCAATATTGGGTTTGGAACACCAAGAACGGAAGTCTGTCTGAAACCGATAAAGCTAAAAAGACAAATAAAAGCTTCGTGAAAACGCTCTCTTCTCACTATAACCTTTGATTGCTAACAAAAGTTTGCTATTTTAAAACTTCCTGATCAGCCGATAGTTGTATTTATATAACTTTTCTGTTGTTCAAAACACTTCGAAGGATTGCTTAAAAGGGAAAACTTTTTTTATACGCTTGGGGACAACGTAAGTTACCAAAAGGATCTAATAAAATAATGTCTTGTTATTATCACACATTGTAAAATATAGATTTTACAGGAATTTTTGTACTACGATGTTTTGCAGATGGTTGTTCATGAGGCGCCTTCAACTGTATTCAATGCCTTCTCATTCATCTTCCAATTGTTTTTTTATTAGAAGGAATAAAAAAACATTGTTATTTAAGAAGAATTACTTACAAGTCCGAGCTAAGCATTGCAAATCCTAAGAAAATTTTTACCAGAAAAATCCTAAATGTTTTTGAAATTTACAATGTTGATAAGATCGGCTTCCTTGAGATTAATAAAAACAAAGTTGGCTCCCAAATCGCTTCTAGAAATGAAGCGAACGGGGAAGAGTTTATTGTACAAGAGAACATCATATATCACAACATATTTTATTTTGACTAATAATATGACAATTTTAATAATTAAGCCACAACTAAAGCAGCGATAAAATGCTTGATCTTTGGTTTAAGTTGTCTAGATGAAATACGATCCAGTTTAAAAAACTTTAAAGTCAATTACACGAAACATTAAAGATTGAAGAACACCTTTATCGATTGATTATCATAATAAGTTTGTGTCGGTATAGTGACACACTTTGCCATTTTAGTAACCATGGCTCAGTAAAACAGGCAACATCGTCCGTTAGCCATAAAATATTTTATACAGACAGTGATAGTTTGAAAGCTGCGGGAGTTCCGACGTTTTTACAACTCAGCACGTCATGGTGTCGTCACATCAAAACACGCGATAAAAAATTGGATCGATAACTTTGAAAAGACAGAATCTGACCTAAAGAAAAAACCAAAAGGACGACCAAGAAGTGCTCGTACTCCACAAAAGATTGAGTCTGTATTACGAAGCCCACGGCGTTCAATTCGTAAGCAAACAGCTGCGATTGATATGTCCCTGAATTTCATCCATACAAGCTGCAGATAGTGCAACAACTGAAGGAAAACGATTACCAGTTGCATTCTGTTAACGAATGATAACAAACAGAAACAATGCCGATGAATTTCTAAGCAAGTTGTGGAAGTCAGACGAGGTACATTTCCATCTCACAGGTTACGTAAATACTTAGTTACTTACTAGTAAATAGTAGTAAATACTAGTTACTTACGTAAATAAGCAGAACTACCGCTACTGGATAGACACAAATCATAAAGAAGTTCGTGAGCGCCCTTTACACACTAGTAAAGTGACAGTATGGTGTGCTATTTCATTACATGGAATCACAGTAACTGTTAATGCCAATTGTTACGTAGAGATGTTACAATTTTTCATTACAGCTGAATTGAAAAATTTTCCGCACGTTTAAAAAACCTGGTTTGAACAGGATGGAGCAATATGACACACTGCACGACAATCAATTGAAGTTGGTAACGTTCCCTAGCGCCCTAGATCGCCAGATCTTGTGGAGCTATCTCAAGAGTAAAATGCACACGACTCAGCCAAGAATTCAGGTCCATGTAGTTCGTTTTTTGACAAAAACGAACCTTTTAGTACACTAAAATATTGTACTAGTTTTGTACCCAGCGGTTTCCGAGAAACAACCCATTTTATAAGGCGGGAGCTGGCTGAAGGTTACATTCTGGCGATTTAGCATATAAACTTGCCATTTTCTTTGCGTTATAGTATTGTACTAGTTTTGTACCTTAATGTAACGGTGAAAAAAGTTTTGTACCCTAACGGTTTCCGAGAAACAACCCCTTTTATAAAGCGGGGGCTGGCGGAAAGTCACATTCTGGTGGTTTAACATGCAAGCTTGCCATTTTCTGTGCATTATAGTATTGTACTAGTTTTGTAAAACCCCCTTTTATAAGGCGAGGGCTGGCGGAAAGGCACATTCTGGCGGTTGAAACATACAAACTGCCATTTTTTGTGCATTATACTATTGTGAAAGACTATTTTGTGAAATACGAATAAAATACGAATAATCATTTGCAGCTTTGCTGAGGTATACCTACTATTAGGTATAGGTATATTTTAATAATTTGTACGACATAAAATAAACATTGGCAATTTATAGCTTCCATATGCATGCACTGGGTGACTTTTGTAGACAAGTCGTCGTAGTTTTGCCAGCCTAACACTTGGTGACAGGATGGTTAAACTTAATTCTATTCCAGTGAATACCTCAAACAAAGTATATTCTTTGTCAAGATTATAACTATTGTTATTCTTCTTTCCGCATGTATATGTATTACAATCTGGATTATTTAAGGCCTTATTTATATTATTTAAAATACTTTGTGTTGTAATGTTATCAGTAGCGGACAGAAATAATATAGGATTTTGATACTTTATTAAGGTTTTCAAACATGTACAATTGTAATAAATATATCTCTAAATATAGGATATATTCTCGAAAAAATATATCAAGACGTAAAGGTAAAGTTTTCTTTGAAAGGAAATTTCGCTTAAGACGTTTAAAATTTGCTTCAGCAGCTGCACTACTTCCATACAATGGTGCATGTAAATAATATGAGCGCATTATGCTTGAACAGAATGAAAGATATATCATCAGTCACATTAATTTTAATTGGCATAATAATTGCTTCCAAATATGGGGCATTATCGCGGTCTCCTTCTATCATTCTATTTCTGCAGTCGTTTTCAATATCAATTGCCCATTTAAAGAAGTGGTTGGTTGTTAAATATTCATTATCTTCTAGGATAATGTTACTTACACTATCATCATTATCTTCACTTTCAAATGATGCTGTATCTTGTCCACTTATTTTCATTTTTAAATATTGTTTGGCCAATTGGCACGAATTGGGTGTTCCTGTGAAACTTTTTTTCACCGGTACGTTAAGGTACAACGCACAGAAAATGGCAAGTTTGTATATTAAACTGCCAGAATGTGAGTTTCCGCCAGCTCCCGCCTTATAACAGGGGTTGTTTCTCGAAAACCTTTTTTCACCGGTACATTTAGGTACAAAACTGGTATAATGTTTTAGTGTACTAAAAGGTTCGTTTTTGTCAAAAAATGTCGGGGGCTGATATGTAGGCAGCCCCTCATCACAAAAAGCGTTATAGTTTAAAAAGCGTAGGGGTACAAAACTTTTCGTTGGTGGTACATTAGGGTACAAAACTAGTACAATACTTTAGCATAAAGATTTTTTATTTTTGGGTATCTCGAGGGCTGCCTACATGGAGCTCAAGAATTCTAGATGAGTTGAAATAGAGAAAGCAGGATGAAATTCATTGTATTCTAGCTGAGATGTTGCAAAAGTTTTTTGTGTCACCTGTATGAAATGAGAATTCAAAAACCATCCTATCTAGTCAAAATATAACCACTTATACCGGATGCGGTCCTTTGAGAAAAGGTGTGCCCAGTCAGCAGATCTGAAGGATACACCTGCATAAAGAACCTTAAAAAGAGGTTAAGGCGGCTGTATTTCGGTCGTCCACTTCGGTTCCGTCGGTTTTCGTTTGCGATGCAAAGAGCGTTTCGTTCCCGGCGTATACAGATGATATTGGGCAAACACGTCGCCCTCCTCGCGCGGGACTTGAAAGGATGCTCTGGGGCGCCGTCGGCCGCCGGGGCGCAGTTATTAAATTCCTACGGCATTCCCGGGGGAATTGGCGGCCTCGTTTTAATGCTGCGTCCTGCCTCTCGACGACCGCAGCAGGCAAATATGTACACGGGGCGCGCTTATACTGGCTCCGAAACAAAGTATAATTCCGATATAATTGAAATAGTTGCAGTCCCGGTTCAAAGCCTGTGTGCTTTTCCGCTCGCACCCGCGTTACGCTATGTTGCTCTGTAAAACATCCCCGTTTGATAATGGTCCCGTTCCGGTGGTGCTGCACGGTACATAATTTAGAAACGTGCCGGCTTCGTGTTACGCGTGAAACACGTACATTAATTGTTATTCATAGAAGCACGTCCGCTTCTCAGTGCGGACTCAGTGATACACTGTGGTTACAAATCTTGCAAAATTGTCCCCAATTTGCATCGTTATTTGAAAAAACAAACAAGTATCGCTACGTTGTAACCAAACACCGGTCCACTTAATGTTAAAATCACGACGCCTTTCGAACATTTTACGATTGTACGAACAATGGGGCCCGATTGCGCGCGTTGCGCAAACAACATAACCTGTAGGCGGCCATTATCGGCTGTAAACATCGCGTATATTTGTTCTGCGGTCGGAAAAAATGGCATCCACGCAAGCTGTTCTCGATTTAGCCTGAATTTTCGATCGTACCCGGTAATAAATTTATTCCCATCAACGGCAGCGGGCGCGTCGGTCGGCGCGAACAACGGCGCTGCAGAACAAAAAAAAATGGGGCACAAAAACAAAACAAACGTTGTTTCCGAAACGGTATCCAATCGCGATGGCGTCATTCGTTTGGCAATTTCGACGTGTAGCGTGCGTTTTTTCGACAAAATTTACGCGTGCAATACGTGTCCGCGCGTTTATTGGCGCTGTACGGAGAAATTAATATCCGACAATGGCAATACGTTGGATTAGACAGCACGATCGCCAGTCCGGAGAACGTTTTCATTGCCGCATAAATTCCCGGAACGTTCACGGCGGAATTTAGTTCGGAATTTATGCCGAATTCGCCGAGTATTGAGATATTAGAATGCGTTATATGCGTTATTTTGGTTGTCCAATATATTTACGGTTTCGGATTCGATACTTTGCCAAAGCACATTCTACAGAAAAAAATACGTCCGGCTTATAATTTATTACAGTTTTTCGAACTATAAACTACCAGCTATAACCACTAATGTATTCTGAGTGGATTTGCATGAGAATTAAGTGCTTTATACACAAAGATTTAACTTTGTGCCAACGTTAATATATTTACCTTTTGGTGGATTGATGTTAACGGCAGATTTATACAAAGACTCCTCATCATACCAGTCTCTATTCCTAGATATTGTCTTGCAGCTGAAGGCAATCACTGTAGCGATAGCACACACTAAAAGAGTAACTCTGTACTTTCGGCACTGCCACAATTTCACCGCGCCAATACCGCACAATAGGCACCAACCCGCACTTGGAAGGTACAAAACCCTTTCTGCCACGACAAAGCCGACATAAAAAAATAAATTTGTCGCTGGTAGGAAGGGTAGTGTTAGGAAGGCCATAGAAAGTATTAGGGTACTATGAATGCTTTTCTTGTCGCTTTTTTCTCTATACAGCTTTTTCGATATTACCATGCAAGAACAGACGTTAACGCTGTTGTTGTTGTTGGTCGTTCTGCATGAAGAGGTGTGCAATTCAGAAAAAGTTTGATGACAGACCGGACAGAAACATTTTTCCGGAAGATCTACTTCTTTCTTGTTGAGCATTGTGGAAGTGCAATGTTTTATTAATAATCCCAAACAAACGTAAAAAGTAAAGCTGTACAAGTTTCTGGGGTCCCTAATACTCTGTAATCTAGGTATAGCGTCCATACCCCAATCAAAACTTAAATCATTCGGGAAGAGAAGCAACCAAACGTTTACTAAAGGAAGATACAGGAACGTCATAAATCGTGTTGACCACCAAACTTCTTTTGCCGTCGGATTGTCAGCCCTGGAGAATTGCGGAGTTGGACCTTGCAACCGAATCATCAATAGAACCAAACCAGTCGCCGCTAAGATGATAAGACTCCGTTTTCGTTTCTGAAACAGTAAAAATGAAAAGTTAGAAAATTGGATATTTCTTCGTTGGTGATGGAGAGAGTGAAAATGTGCCAAGAGGAGCGGGAAAAGAGGGCGAATGCTCTAGAGTCTGCTCGCGTTAGTCTCGTATCAATCTCCAGTCAGCCCGGGGCTATCGCGCCAAGCGGCTACGATAAATCGTAACGGAAACGCCGCGGAGCTTGATAAACATGTAAATATGACGTCGCTCGCAGCACCTCATTTACGAACGCTGGCCTCGCGTCCCTTCTCCTACATCCAGACGACATAATTTATCGTTATTAGGGGATTTTCAATACCAACCCCCAACGGCAAACTCCATAAAACGACTACACTATGTTCTTGCCAAATTTATTTATATCGCATGTTCTAGATATTGAAACCAATAAATTTTCTAACTAATTTATGTAAACTGATAAAGAAAATTAAGAATTTTACTACTTATTTTGACAAACCGTCGTAACGTTTATTCATGTTAAAGACCTGCCGAGGATAGATTCGGTGACAGTTGAGTAAATCCACGTCGTCACTCGGTTTATTGAAATCGATAAATCCCAAACTAATCCCTCGCTGGTCTCAAAAGTAGCGCGCCTCGCCTCGAGCAGAAAAAGAGAGGAAGTTTCACCGGGCGGGTATTAAATTTTTAGCAATTTCCCTCACGAATGGACCATTGATCCTGAGACGATCTGCTGGGACCCTCGTCCCGGCCCTTTTGCCCCACGGAACCTGTTAATGTGTCACGTCCCTCTCGGCTATCTTGTCGTACGACAGTCGTCGTCCGTGCAGCCCTCTACCATCGAAGATTGGAAAAGTTTGTCGGCCGTGTACCGGGAAAGTGTATTTGACGTGCTGCGGCTGTATGCTGTCGACACCAATACTGTTTCGATAGATTAAATTCTACCGAGGAATTTGTACAACTTGTCATCCGTTTTCCACTATAGTTTTCATTTTTTTTAATCTCATTTTTGCCGTAACGAGTGTTTTTCTTAGGATCATTTGAAAAACGGTTTCCCATTCCGGTCGACAATTTGTTGACACAACAGCGAGGCCATAAGCCGGGCTGAAACTCTCGCAACGCTTCCGTTACCGACAACGAGCAACGTCACGTCGTTAACCCGTTAATAATTTACTGGGTGATTAATAATAACCGGGAAGCAGACCAAAACAAACAGATCCCGCTTCTGTACGTCAGCGCTCGATACCCAGACTTATGATTAATGTAGAAAGGATAATATTTATACAGGCACGGAGGCGAGATGATCGACGTCTTCAAGCAGCCTCTACATCGTGTACAATCATTTATAATAACTAAATTCATAACTTAATCCCAAGTAAACGTTTACATTAAAATTAACTTTCTTTTTCGCGTTTTTTTTTTTGTTAAATACACATGTTTGATTATTATACAAGATTTTAAGAATATACCGGGTGTTTATTAAACATGCGGTAAAAATTCAAGGGATTATTTTTTGGGCTATTCTAAGAATATTTTGTCATTTAATGAGATTTTGAGCTTTGTTTCAAAGATATAGTACAAAACAAAAATAGAAATTGAAACGAATTGGAGGATCAGGAAAGCCAATGACAGTCAGAACGGTAGAACCAGAACATAATGTGTTGAACATAATAGAGGAAGAACCAGGCATTTCTACTCGAATAACGGTAAATACTTTGAAACTAAGCAATGGGGCTGTTTGGAAAATTCTTAAAAGTTATTTATTGTATCAATACTATTTATAAGGCGTTCAAGCACTTCTACCTGCTGATCTTTTTCCACGTTTAACATTCTGCCAATGGCTCTTGGGCAAATGGGTTCAAATCCCTCAACTACTGACTTTGACTCCTTTTACTGATGTAGCGAATTTTTCAAGAAATGCAATAAGGAATTTTCACAATAACCATGTGTGGGCTGAAGAAAATCCACATGAGCTAAGTGAAGAACGATTTCAACATCAGTTCTCGTTGGACCAGTATTTCTACCAAGAAGGCTTACCTGCGAAATGTATTGCAACTTTTTGGAACAAACGTTACATCAGTTCCTAGAGGATTTACCATTGGTAATAAGAAATTGAATGTGGTTAATGCACAATGGTGCACCAGCGCATTTTAGTAGAGTTGCGCGTGAGTTTTTGATAGTAACATATGGAGATCGTTGGATTGGTCGAGGTGGACCTCATTTGGACCTCACTAAAGTGTTTTGGAAGTCTTTCTGGATGTAACGGAAGCATATCAGTTGATGGTTGGTCTAATGTACATAATGACCCTATACTGTGCCACAATAACTACTGAAGATGAAAACGCATTCTTATATGAAACAATAGATACATCTGGTAACCCCCATACAAGCGATTACTTAACAAAAATTGCTTATGAAATAATTTCATCTTGTAAAGCGAAATATAATTGTAATGTAACGTCTATATATGCTGCGAATATGACAAATATGAGAAGACATAGATCAGAAGCTTAAGCTTTAGTGGTTCCGTTATAACGTATAGATGCTCAGCTCACTTTCTAAATTTGCTTTGCAAAGACCGTAAGGTAACTAAAGTGAAAACGCTAAAGTGATCTAAATTGTGAAATATTTTAGAAACAATCACCTGGCTAGATCTATGTATATATCTTGTATATACTGATGCAAACGATGTTAGGTGGAACAGTATGGTGGATTGTCTGCAAAAGTCAATGGGAAAAATTGTCAAAAGTATGTGAAGAAAATAAAAATGAAATATATACCAAAATATACCAAATAATATACCAATATACCAAAAAGTATCTAATATTGATCCCAAACGCAATGTATAGAAATAGAAATGTTAAGACTGCATCAAATGAGGTTTTAGAGGAATGCACGTAGAGGAGACTCCTTAGGATAAAGATAGAGGATAAGGTCTCCTATGTTGTTGAAAAAATGGTTTGCAGTTTGCAGTACTATTTTCACTTGCTAAAATCCGTAATGCTTCCTTTTGTTGCATGTAAATATCTTTGGCCGCCGGAGAATTCCCCCACATCAGTATTCCATACGCCCCCTGCTATGAAAGTTGGCAAAGTAGGTTGCTCTGGCAGCCTCATATCCAGCTATAGCCCGTATGCGCCTGACCGTAAATATTGCTACAGCCAGGCATCTTTGAAGATATTCAACATGAGAGTTCCAGCTTAGGTTTGACATAACATATATCCCCAGGAATTTAATAGGTTCTTGCTCCCGTCCTTCAATTTTAGTTGTTAATAGTAGTTTTTGTGTCTTTTCGACATTAAGTTTCAAACTGTTGGCCCCAAACCATTCCGCAGCTTCGGTTATAACAACTTGTGACATATTTTCAAATTCAACTCTATCTTTCGACGTTAGCACACAAGATCATCAGTATCATCAGGATATATATAAATGCCATCAACTGAGATGTTAATAGGAAGATCATTTATGTAAATAATAAAGAGCATTGGGCCCAGAATTGATTCTTGTGGGACACCAGATATAATATTAGTAACATCCGAAGTTCGACCTTGTCAAAAGCCTTTGACAAGTCACAACATAATAATTGAACATCCTCCTTCTCTTCAAACGCACGTGCCACAGCATTAACCAAGCTAGTTAGAGCTGTTGTTATTATTATTATAGAAATAGGTCTATAGTTTGTATAATCATCTGGACTATCCCATTTGAAAACAGGGACCACTTTGGCCACTTTAAGTACAACAAGAAATATGCCGTTTGTAAAACAATTCACCATATTGGTAATGGGTATAGCTAACACGTCAATAACATTCTTAACAAGCCAATATTCCGGGGACTTGCCAAATTGCAAAAAAGGTACTTAGAAGTGTGAAAGGAATTGGAAGTTCATTTGATGAAAAATTGGAATTATCACTGTCTCAAATACAATTTTATCAGAAATTTTACAAACAGGCTCTTACGCCTTATCATTTAATGGTATTTATTTTAGATGTAACTAAAACAAAATATAAATTGACGAAGCTATGAACACACTTAATAGTTAAGCTAGTCTCGAAAATGGAATCATTTTCTGCAAGGAAGTTATATCCATTGCTGCTGCTTTGGAGTAGTGGATTTCATAAAAGAACCGTCCTGATATTAAGGAACTTCGCCCAACTTTAAAACAATTTTTATGTGTAGTTTGTTCTTCAGCTTCAATAGATCGTCTTCACAACATTTGGTCTCGTCAACTCCAATGTGTGCAACAAATGAAGATATAATATTTGTAATTTTTGGTACCTAATAAAATGTTGTAGAAATCTTTGTTCATGCTATATCTTCAAAGCAAACCGATTTTTCAAAAATGATCAAAGGATAAAATATTCTTAGTATAGTGTTTAAATGTTTGCCACATATTTAATAAACACGCAGTATATTTCAAAAATCTTATCTTAAGAACGAACGGAGATATCGAGATGAAATAACGGACATTTTAAAGCAAACTTAATAAGTTTTTAATATCTGATTATTGATTTTCCGTTAACATTCTTGTTATAATTTTTTTTAATTAGATTCTAGAAGTGTTAAGTGTGCTTAATATAGATTGTAGGGAAATATTTTGATTTTGTAAGCAATAATATTTTAATAACTGAGCTTCTCCCACTTCAGAAGTTATCGCCTTAGGTAAGAGTAACATTCTCGAGAACGATTTTAACCGATTAGCTATGAAGACGGGTGGAAAGTTTCGTCTTTGCGTTAACGCACTTAACTTGCCAGGAAATTAGGTACTTAGTATTTAGATACGTATAATTTATTATAAAGCAACTTCAAAGGTAAGAGAATTAAATTTATTACTGGTACGTTATGATCAGTAAGAATTTATATTGAAGATATTAATAATCGTTAGCGATAATCTGGTTACAACGGTTTTCGTGTTGTTAATTACGCAAAATAATGACTCTTGAGCAGAAACATGAAATCCTTATTACGCTTTCACTTATCATTTAGTAAAGTTCGTGTCGTTTAATTATTACGAAACAGCAACTACATATTGTTACAAATTGCAACAAGTTAATAGGTTTGTAAACTTTCAAAAAAACTTCAGTGTAGGTACATATAGCGCTTGCGCTGGACCTTCGGGAGGATAAAATATTCAGTAGGAAACGACTATGTGTGTTCTGGACAAGCAATGGTATTGTATCCAAGGGTATTAGGTAGACAATGGAGGGCAGGGCGTAAACGACTGGTACACAAAGACCACCCGAGGCTTTCGTCGTTTTTTTTTACGCGTTTTCCACTGACGGTGGCGGGATTTATGACTTTCCTCGCCCTCGGCTTATTTATAACGGATATTTTTGTCCACTATTTATTTCACGGGGTGCGGTCGTAGGGCGGAACGGTAGGGCGCGATTTATATGTGCACCCCCACCCGCGACAACAACAAACATCCACGCTATATATATATCTATATACCCCGATATTTAGGAGGTTAAGGTCCGAATTTATCGCGCGATTAAATTTGTGTATACTGCGGACCTAGAGCTTTCGCCCGCACGCTCTCTTCCTCCCTGATCCCTTCGAAATGGCTGCAGTCTATTAAGTGTCTGAGCCTCGGATTTATGTACCATGCTAATAACTCAAATTGATGGGGAGGGACGCTTTGGGTCAGTCTATTGGAAAATCAGCTTTGAAATCCTATTCTCCCAACAAAAATTTTAATCGACATTACCTGCTTTTTAGCCGTATTAAGTAAATTTTAATATTAATAAAGTTAACATTTATGGAAAATTTTATTTTGAAACTCACAATGTTCATAACGTCACCGAAAAAGTTTCCAGCTAACTTTCCGACTTAATGAGTTCCTCTGTCACCAACGGAAACCCAGTCGATTTTTTCACTTCACCACCGACTCGATTTCGAAAGTGTAACCGGTCCGTTCTGAACCGGGTTGGATTTTAATTTTGAACCGGCGTGATTGGGAAAAACTTTTAGGGGGTGAAAACAAAAGTTCGCCCCCGGCAGTACATAATTAGAGCGGGAAAAATTTTTCGTTTGAGGAATTCCTGTGACGGTTAACAGAAATGTTGCGGTGTTTATTTTTGACGACGAAAACTCCCCTAGAGTTCCGGGTTTAAATTTGCGCTTTCACCCCGCGGGTAATTGAATGAACGCTTCGTGTGTGCATATTTCCCAGAAGCTGCTTTTCTAAAGCTTACGAAAGACGATGACCTACTTTAGAAACATGCAGATTTTCTACTTGGAATTCTAGAATTTCAAATATTTTAGAATATCTCACCTTGTTAGTTTGAGTTGAATGAAGATAGTCGTATAGAGCACAAACACCCAACACTGTCACACCGGTTTCTTTACTCAACATCGCTGCTAACGATAACGTCAAACACCCAAATAACGTAGCCCATTCAAGAGTTCTATTCCACCAGCAGCAAGATGACGTTTTTGTTTCAATTCGTTGATTCAAAAAATCGCTTTCAACGAATTTTCTTGGCCAGTTACATGTGCTGAAGTTCACCATCAGCTTGTATTTTCCTCGTGCTTGCTTAATCTTGTCATATTCCCGCATATGTTTTATATAGAGACATTTGTGTTTGTTACAAGAAATACTTTCTCTATACTTCATATGGGCCGCATACATCAAGAAAGATAGGAGGTAGAAGTTACAAGCGGCCAAATCAGCTCTTCCAACCACTCCAGCAACTGCTTCGGTGTGAATTGGATGAGTTGCAAACAATAGTCCTGTTACCCATGGTCCAATTGATCTTTTCGTTTTTGGAAGAACATTTCTAGCCACCCTCACCACTAAAGCTGTAGCCAAACAATGAAGGAGAACATTCACCAGGTGGTAACCCCATGGTTGGAATCCTCCCAAAACGTAATTTAACCGAAAGGTCAATACGCAGAGAGGTCTGTATGATCCATGCGATCCACTATCTGTTAGCGGTGTTCCCCAAAAGTCGTTCTCGAGTAATTTTTGAATAGGTGTTGATGGTAGGAGGTCGGGGTTACTCAAGATTGCTCGCCTGAAATAAAAAAAGAAATAAAAATTAGTTGTTAACTTGGATTGATGAATTTCCGTCGAAATAATTCTGTGTTTAATCAATCCGGTTTTCATTCCAACGATTAGCAGAATCGCTTGCTGTCAATAAACAGAGGCGTATAAACGATTCAATTACTCCAAATGGAACAAGATGGCCGCGTACCAAAGTTACACGGTAATTATTTCGCTTGTGTCATTGTCAGGCGCGCGTCTGCGACGAATTGATGTGACGACGGCGTGGAGTCGCGACGTTTACGGAATTTCGGCTATAGATTAGTTTAATTAGTGGGGCGACGGGACGAGTTTCAGTTGACAATTGCGAATTTAATTTTGATGATTTAGTTTAACTAGTCTCGTATGGCCTGACTAGCCGCAATAAATAACCTTCCGCTTGAAATTCAATTAGAGGCAACGGGGTTCCGACGCTGGCGTCCCGACGCGACGCCCGAAACTCGAACGCAATAACATCGATACAATTCTATTGTAAATCACTCGGTTTAGCTCGGGTTCGGTTCAAACGTTCACTCAAACCTTAGAATCTTGCATCGAATCGAATCAAACCTTAAAATTTCAAGGACCCCATTGAATTTAGTGGAATCACTATGGAAATCTAGGAGCCCGGGAAGATAGCCCCTCAGATGGTTGTAGAGTTGGTTGTACATTGTTCCAAAGCGGCAAATAGAAAAAATAAGAACTCGGCGAGAATAACCGAAAAAACGGGTTTTTTGACTAGCCCCCATTTTTGGAAAAATCTGATTTTTGTTGTTGTTCTGGGGTGTTCTAGTTATTGTTCTAGAAAATCAAAATTATGGGATACAGAATTACAAAGTTATAATATTATATATTGCTCTGACCATAGTTTTTCTATTTTCAATTCCATTTTACAAATATGCTCACTTTCATATGAAATCCACCACCCACTAAAATTCAAACTATAATTTTGAAACTTTGGTAAAATAATGCTATTATCAACTAAGAAACGATGAAAGTTTTCGCCGAAAAAACTCAACTGTTAAATTTGCTGTACGATTGTTATCTCCAACTTTCAATATTTTCTTCCTAGCAATTAATGAGTTTCTGCCCACAAAATGTCAGTTTATTTGATTGTTAAACTGTCAAGTAGAAGCCTTGTAATGTCCCCAGTGTGACGTCGTTGAAATTTTGCCCACATCGATGACTTTGCTAGGGGCCGAATTATCAGTATGAAGATGAAGAGGCGGGTCTCTCATTCCGAGAGATTGGGAGAAGCCTGAATCGGGACCACACTACAGTTGCTCGGATATGGTCTTTATGGTCCCAAGAACGTATTCAGCGGCGCCGTCCTGCTGGAAGACCTGCCCGAAGAAGCAAGGCACGTGAAGACCGACTCCTTAGGCGGATGGCTACCAGGGATCGATTTCAAACAACAAAGTCGATTGCAGTGGATAGGACGAGAGCTTCGAACCGACACTTGTCGATGGCAACTGTTTACAGAAGAATTTCTTCCTTTGGGCTTCATTTATACCGTCCTTACCTTCAGCTTCCATTAACACCTCCCCATAAAGCAGCCAGACTTGCATGGTGCCAAGAACGGCAACGGCGGGTTCATCAATGGAATGACATCGTCTTCAGTGATGATTCGATGAATCAAGGTTTTGTTTATGAGTGAATGATGGCCGTAGAAGAGTGCGGCGACATCGAGGAGAAAGAGAGAATTTGGAGTTCGTTCAAAGACGACACACAGCCTTAACACCTGGGATTATGATTTGGGGGGCGATATGTGCTGGACGAAGGTCACTCCTTACGTTCATTCCAGGCACATTAAACGCACGTCGTTACATCGACTACGTTCTGGAACCGGTGTTAGTACCTTTCATGCAGACGTTGCAGAATGCCACTTTCCAACAGGATAATGCAAGACTCCATACTGCTGTGGTTACAAGAAGGTTGTTGGAGCAGGTTGGATTGCAGATTTTGCCCTGGCCTGCACGGTCACCAGACTTGTCGCCTATTGAACATGTCTGGGATGTGATGGGTTGGCGACTAAGACAAGTACTCAGGCCTCCTGAGAATCTGGATGAACTTCGACACCATCTAGAGGTTGCATGGAACGAGATACCCCAGGAGGACATCGACCACTTAATAGAGAGCATGGGTAGAAGAGTTAATGCATAGCTGCGCGTGGGGATGCAACCCACTACTAGCTTTTTCTTAAAATGTTAATTTTTGTTTTGTGAGTACCTAGATTTTCCTATTTTTGTTCCTATTTTCTCATACATTTTATGACAAAGTTTATCATTGCCATTTCAGGAGAACGGTAAGCGCTATCGCAACCTAATTTTAATCAGTTAGGCGTGGAAACAAAAGAATCCAAGGCATTTTGTCTAACAAACTGTCACATAAGTTGTTTTCGTTTAGTCAACTTCACCTACATTGGTTTCCGTAAAAATAGTGTACTCTATTGCTGAAAGGGTGGAAATTCTCTACATTTATGGTGCCGAGCAATGTGCTCGTGCCACAGCAAACTTTGAACTTTTCGCTTTTACAAAAATTTGAAGCAACTGGATCGGTAGAGAACAAGATAAGGCATGTATATAATAAGGTAGTAGATGAACTGGCGGAGATGGATGTCATTGAATTTTTACTATAGAGCCAACCAGTTCTTTGTGTCAGGTTGCAGAAATACTAGGTGATTCAATAGTTGTACCCATATTCATTAATTGTGACGTCTACTTGAATATGTTGGAGAACATCATCGATCCTCTAATAACTAAAGAAGTGGAAAACCAGCTTAATGCAGAAGGTAATCAAATGCTCGACGAACATCAATTGCTCTTCCAGCAGGATGGTGCCCCACCGCATTATGCCGAGAATGTTCGTAACTGGCTTAACCGGAAATTTCCAAGTCACTGGATTGGTAGATAAGGAACAATCGAATGGCCTCCACGATCACCGAACCTCACAAGTCCCGACTTCTTCCTTTGGGGTCATTTAAAGTTAATAGTTTATAAGACTAAACCCATAGATTAATTAAATGACTTGTGCCAACGAATGCCGAAACATCCCACGAGAAACTTTTCAGAAAGTAAGGCAACAATTTGAAAATCAGCTTTACTATTGCATGGAGGCCAATGGTGCTAATTTTGAGCAGTTCATACGAATGTTATTTTTTTAGTTTTGTTAAAATCTTATTTTCAAGGCCTACTTAGATGTCTTATCCTAATGTAAAATTGATAATTTCTCAATGCTAAATAAAAAAAAGCTCAAGTGATACGTCACCATAATCTGGCATAATTTTGACAGCCAAATCTATTTTTAGTTATAACTTTGTAATGCTGTATCCCATAATTTTGATTTTCTAGAACAACTAGAATAACCCAGAACAACAAAGAAAATCTAATGTTTCCATAAATGGAGGCTAGGCAAAAAACCCGTTTTTCAGTTTTTCTCGCCGAGTTTTTATTTTTTCTATTTGCCGCTTTGGAACAATATAGAATAACTCTAGAACAATCTAGAAGAACAATGAAAAATTTTAAAATTAAAAAATGAGGGGCTAACATCCCGCACTCGACATCTAGTGTAAATTTAATTTATGAAGTTAATTATAGTAGTCTATTAAAAACGTGCCACCTTATCCATTATAATACGACAAGACGAGCAGTCCTCGGTCGAAAATGGTGACCTCCTCCTCAAATATTGATCAGGGAATCTCAGTTGGAGTTAATTCGCATCCTTGGCGACCCGAATTTGCATAGGCCCTCCCTAGGGCGACGACGACGCCCAGCGAACGACGTCGACGACGTCCGTAAAAACTGCTAATTGAAAACGAGACCGGCCTAACCGGGTGAAAACTGCCGGAGGAGGATGTCGGTTCGTTAGTGACGAAAACGAAAACGGGGGTGCTCGTCGTCATCACCCCGGATAATAGACATCAAAGGGGCGCTGTTTGCTTTTGATTTACCCTGTATCTCCGATGTTTTTCCGTGTACAGGCGTCATTATTAGGCTTTGTTTGTTCACGGTTCAATCGGTTGATTTTTTTTTATAAAAAGAAAAAACATCCACCTTTGTTACGTTTGACTTTTCTGGTTGTGTTTTTGACGAAAACTTGTAATAAAAAAATAAATCAATTTACATTAGTGTTCAATATAAAAGGTTTTTCTTTAACGATTAGCATAGGCTAACGACGAAGAAGTAATTGAATCAATTAACGTAACGACTTCAAGTACGCTGTGATAACTTCCCCCGTGTCGGATAGACAGAGCTCAAGAGGAAGTTCCCGTGTTGCAAATTGCGACCGTTTCGCGTTACGACGCGTCCCCCGAAAAGGAAATTAAATTGGCGCAACGCCCCAATGATTATAAGTTTCCCGCGGGCTCCAAGCCAGACCTACGTGTTATGATTTCTTAAATTGAAACGCCCAATTAAGCTCTCCGGTTCCACAGCTGCTAGAAGGTCAAACGAATTTTCCTAGAAACATCGATACAAAACGCCAAATGAAATTAGCGAGCGGCTTCGCTTAATTTATTAAAGGGAAAAATCCGTCGTCATAATGGATAATTACTACGGGAAAAAACGACGACGCAAAGTGTCTAATCACGGCTGAGGGTCGTTTGAGCCTCGTTTCTCAGAGGGGCGAAGCCCGGTGATTGCTAAACGCAATTTGCTGCCCCTCTGTCCGCACTCCTTTAAGCGTTCCCTCTTCTCCATGGCTCTTTCAGGCGGTGTCATCAGCTGTGCACTTTGATCCCACCAGAGATACACTCTCCGGCTATGAAAGGGGCCTTGTTTTAATATAATCACGACTTATTACGCCTCTTCCGGTCGAGGTTTTTATGTTCTGCTTCATCTCACTTTTAAAACTAAATTTTGTTTGGGTAAACTTAAAATTATATCACAGCAAAATTTAATTTTTATAATAAATATTTTAGAAAATTTGTTGGGTGTCAAACTGCTGTTTCATGGGAAAACTTACATAATGAAGAAACCGCGACAGTTCCTCCAA